ACTCCTAGGGGCTGAGGTTTGCTCCACCCCTGGAGACTTAACCCCTGGGTCATAACTTTGAAACAGTTGAGATCCCCACCCCATAACCATATATTCAATTGCTGGGCATAAAGAGACAAACACAATCATGATATTAGAATTGAGCCTGGGGTCTTGCCACACCCCTAGGGATTAAGTTCTTGGGTGAAAACTTGGAAACAGTTGAGATCCCCATTCTATTACCATATACATGTATACATGTAATTGCTTAGTATAACAAGACAAATACACATATGCTACCAGCACTGGCCCTTCTGTTCATCTGTCCGGCACTCCCAAAGGAGTTAGAACCTTGACCAAAACATGCAAACCGATATTATCCCCACCCTAAAATAAACAGTTACATTGTATACATTTGTTTGTTATGAAGAGAATAATACATTTATGCCAATAGAATGCGCCCTGGGGCCCACCCTTGCCTCGGGAAACCAAGATCCTGGATCATAACATGGAAACGGTTAAGCTCTTCATGCTACATTTGTATCTAGAGAAGTACACGTTCATGCTGTCAGATTTGCCATCCACCCCTTTTAAATGCTGACAGAGTCGAAATTACGAAATATTTGCAGTATTATATACATGTACAATGCAAATAAATATTTTGTCATGATTGCGTAAATATCCGTGAGAGTATTACAGGCCCTATGGGCCTCTTGTATTAAACTTGAAACCCGACACGACACGCGCAACATTTGAAGAGGTGATACGCAAGAGATGTCCGCCCATACTTTTCGAGGTGTATCGGTCGAGGCTGGTGGTGTGATTGACCTATATACATTGATAAAGGTATGGATATAACTAACTTACACCCAACACCGGCCGAGTGACTTACCTTTTCCATTTAATGTGAAGTAGTTTTATCAAACAGACATAAAATATATTAACACACCATTTACTTAAAAACGCATGATTTAATAGTTGACTGTTGTGTCACTATGCCCGACTAGGAACCGAGGTCAAATGTTTTTTATATTTTTGTTATTGTCTGAAATTGTTAGAAATCATTCGCATTAAAAACTAAGAATAGTGTAGGTGAATTATACATGTTTTGTTTGTTTGTTGTTTAACACAGCACTCAGCAATCTTCCAGCTATATGACGGCGGTCTGTAAATACTCGAGTCTGAACCAGACAAGCTAGTGATTGGCATCATGAGCATCGATCCACGCAATTGGGATACGATGACATGCATCCACCAATCAGCGAGCCTGACCATCCGATCCCGTTAGTCGCCCCTAGGACAACCATAGTCGCCTTTATGACGCTCACGGCTATAATGCATTGGATAATCAAGAGTAAATTTCCCTTGCTATTTTAATGTAGCAAAGGTAATTGCACACGCACACGCACACGCACACGTACACGTACACGTACACAGGTTGCTGGAATCCTACCTACACAAATATTTCTGTTTCATAAATCCATTGGTTTAAGGGTAGTGGGTGAATGACTGAGTTGAGTTTAACGCCGCATGGAACAGTGCTAGTATTCCACATATATCACGTCGTTTCAGCTTGATGTGGGAAGAAAGCCATGCAGGCCTCGGATGTTTACTATTCTTGAGAAATCGACGGGCAAGGGTATGATGTTGACACACCTAGAAACACAATCGGGATTCGAACCCTCGATCATCACAAGGGACGCACAATGCATAATGAATTGCGGCGCATTAGACCACTGGACCACCGGTGCTCCGGTTCAAGGGAGGAAGGAATGAGGGAGTATTGGCTTAAAGATGCTCTGGGCCCCGTTCCACAAAACGATCTTAGCGCTGAGATGATCGTAACTCCCATACTTTAACATAGGCTTACGACAATCATAGCACTAAGATCGCTTTGTGGAACGTCACTGAACGGCATTTCAGTTATTTCACGGGGGTTCAGCTTGACTGATGCACGTTTACCACTTTGGTGAAACCCAAGGGCACGTATATAGTGCTGAAAAACCTAGAAACAAGCAGTGCGAATTTGGGACTCGAACCCAATAATCATAGGATGCTTTCATGCCTAAGGGACGCAACTCATTGTGGCGCCTTAGACAACTTGACCTGATCTGACCCACTTGAGATGTTTTTTATTAAGCTACAAGAACAAAACATATCTGCTTCCGTCTTTCGATTCATACTGCCAGCACCAACAATCAATTTGGCACTGATCAGGAAGATGCATTATCATCTGTTCATCTATATCTTTTTAACGAAGGTTAGAATTGTTGCATTTCTGTTGATGTGATGATTCCTCTTATATGAACACTGATGAGCATGGATCTATCTATCTATCTATCTATCTATCTATCTATCTATCTATCTATCTATCTACCTACCTATCTATCTATCTATCTATCTATCAATCTATCTATCTATCGTTAACGCACTATCACTTTCACTAATGCCTCCCTCAAGTTTGTCAGTAACTTTCCACAACAGTAACATTTCATGAGCATCGATCCACGCAATTGGGATCGATGACATGCATCAGCCATGTCAGCGCGCCTGACAACCGATCCAGTTAGTCGCCTCTTACGACAAGCATAGTCGCCTGTTACGGCAAGCATGGGTTGCTGAAGACCTGTCTGTTCTACCCCGGATCTTCACGGGTACAAAATCACAATGCAACCCCACCACGCTGCTGTTTGCGTTTTCACTTCCGGCAATTAACACTGATGACGCAGCACATGTTGGTCGATTTATAGGACGCATTTGACACGGTGGATCCTAATGTACCAGTGTCTCCCCTGAGAGATATGTGGGGGTAACCGGGAAGTCTTATATAGGGACGTGCATGTACGTGTGTGTGTTTGTGTGGCACCTTTTACTAGTCCGGACTGATGCCGATTTATAGTGCTAGCTCACTGAGATACCATGCCGCAGTTTAACATGAATACCCCACTCAGACACAGTGTACTGACTCCGAGCCGACCAGTCCTTGTTTTAGCCCCTTAATGCCGAGCGCCAGACAGGGTAACAACAAGTACCATATTTTAACGTCTTTTGGTATGACGCGGTCGGGGATCGAACCCCGGACCACCCGCTCTCCGGGTGGACGCTCTGCCACTAGACCACTGAGGCGGTTGTTATACAAGGACAGTGGCGATAAGATTATACAGTTTACAGTGTACCTGGAACAAAATCCATGGAATTTCGTCGGCATTTAATATACTGTATATATGCTCGTCATATAAAATCTAAATTGAATGTTTGTTCAGGTTCGGCGAGGGGGCACAGGTGGCCCAGTCGTCTAAGGCGCCGCGATTGGCTGTGCAGAGTTGCGTCCCTTGGGCACGCCAGAAACCTATGATTGTAGGTTCGAATCCCGGTTCTCCCCGATTATGTTTCTAGGTTTGTCAGCACCATACCCGTGCTCGTGGGTTTCACCGAAGTGGTTAACGACTGAGACCTGCATCACTTCGGGCTTTCCTCCCACATTAAGCTGACACGCCGTGATATAACTGGAACACTGTTAAAAACGGCGTTAAACCCAACTCACTCACTCACTCACTCAGGCTCGGCGACTACAGTGTTATTATTATTAACAACAAACAAGCAAAACAAATTTTGATAGTAGAAGGTAGTGATACCGTAGAAATGGACATATATTCACGATACAACAATATGAGTATAGCATACTGTTTAAAGAGGCCGTAATTGTCTCATCAAATGTACACTTACCTTTATCAAACAGCTGTTCCGAAACGTCGCATTGCGAGAAAATGGCATAAGTCAATAAGAGTTCACCATTAACATTTAACCCTGAAATGTAATATGTGCTATTAGGGCTGGGACGGGTAACTCGGGTACTAGGGTCGGTTGGGTCCTGAGTAGGACCCGGGTACCCACAGGACTTCGCGGACCCGTGGTTAGTCACGTGATATGTATTGTTTAATAACAAAAATTATCTAAAACTCTATGGTTACACTATAAGTCACTTATGTTCCAATTTCTTTCTGACAGTGCATCCATTCCTTCTGACTTTTATATGTTTGAATAAGGATAAAACTGCATGCATTAAATCTTCAGTGTATGCATGAGCGTTTTACACGTGTATCTGAATACATTTTGCTAGGGCTACGGTCAAAATTTTCCAAATCGGACAGTTTGTACATGTCTATAAATACCTACAGCGGGTCCCCGGGTGGGGTCGGGAAATAAGGTGGTGGGTACCCGGGTAGTAAATACCCGTCCCAGCCCTATGTGCTGTGTTGTACACTCTATAAGGCCACAAACACATTGTTTTTAATCATCAAGGCTTGCCCTTACCTTATGACTTTTTCAATCGATCCCTCAAAATAAGGACAGGGAATGGTTATTGCCTTTCGTTTCTTCGAGAGTAGCCTCAATGATTGCACACCACAAACCAACACTGACAAAAGCTCATCTTCCTTTCGTTACTTAACGATTTCTCACCATTTTGTTGGCATTAATTCGACCTGCACTGCTGTACCACGTCTGCTGGCATTCGTGGAGTTGAATTAACGCGCATGGAAAACTCGTGCAACGGAAGTGAGCCCCGATTGGTTTAACACGCAACTTGATTTGATATTTGTGCGTGTAAATAATCTATTTGGTGGTTTAATCAGGCTGACTCTAACTTTAATAAGAACTGGGGATCTTGACACTGCTATAGGAAGGAACTATGTACTTAAGCTTTGAACAATTACTTAAAGGGAAACACTGAATAACGATATATTCCCAAATATGCAGGATGCGCAGCTGTTTACGTCAGTAGAGTCATGGACACGCCCTGCTCCAGATGTATAATATAGTTGATCATAGTTCACAGTAAATCGTTCACAACCATAACATACGGTAATCGTCGGCGATACTGTTTTTTTCTGGGTTTAGCTACAGTTACATAACATTGTTGCATTTGGTTCTTGTGAATCATTGTGTAGGTAGCGAAATAAGCCGAGCGTAACCGAATGTTACCAAGGGCAGACAAATCCATTGCTTAGATAAGAGTTACTTCCCTTTATGGAAACAGACGCCATTTTGGTATCACGTTGCTAAGAATGTTTCCCGGATTCATGTTTCACTGATACTTTTATGGTAATGATAATTGATGGAATACTTGAAATCATATCCCAATAGTTAATATTGTTTGAATACTGTTACCCGTAGCTATAAGCTGCCACAAGCACACATAGTGAAATTACAAAGCCCTATGTTCATGTGTATGAATTTGGTAAGACGTTGCTAACGATCTTCTTTCGAGTCCTTCATTTTGCTTGAAGAGTCTTGTTGCTATACACTGCGATTTGTTGCCGTCATTTTACGACTGTGTTTGCCTCACCCAAGTGTTTCCTTGTCGCCTGCAGGTAAGTTACTTATTCATTTGCACTCTGAAACACTTTATTTGTAATATTTAACCGTTCTTTCGACTATTTGAATCTTTATCAAATGGGCGTCTCCGTCATGAGTATCGTCAGGTAGCCATTTTGACTAAATTCAGTATAGTTTTAAAAATCTGTAACTTTATACATAAGATTTACGTGCAATCAGAAAATGTAAGAAGCCTTCTTAAGTTATGCGGGAATACAGGAATACTCGATAACAAAGACCCCGGACGTTTATTCCAGGCCTAACACCCGACTTTTAAATTGGGTCACAATAATGTCCCTTTCACTACAGGAATTGGAAGTTTCGAGAACGAGTGGAGTTAGAATGCCTATACTACAAGCCTATTATGCTATTTGGAGATATAGTAAATGAGCTATCTTATTTCAACTCCAAACTTGCAACTTCCGATTTCTGGCGCTTTTAGAAATTATGCAAAGGAACACATGCATTATACAGGAAACCTATCCGCCATGTTTGTTTGATGCTACTAATAAAGCCGCACCGACAGCATCACTATTTGAAAAATAGGCTTTACAAAAGCATTTAATGCAAGCCGTTGAGTGGGGGGCAAGCCCCCAAACACCCTGTTATTTTAGCGAGGCGACAATACGACTTGCTTTTACCTAGATGACTAGAATTTTGAGACTGATGTTGATAACTGAAGGATCTTAGAAATAAGGAAACGTACATAGATGGAATATTCCAGATGATATTCTAATTAAACTCCCAATTTTTCAAATTCATCCTGAAAAAAAAAATGTTTTACACACAGTCACTCGATTCAAAACATTTTTCACAACAATTCTTGTGATTTGCAGACATCAACCATGATGTACCCAGACGACCCCTGCCTTGGTATCCCCATCGAGAGCTGGAGTGCCTCCTCCCTCCCAGTTAGTCCCTCCTCCAGCTCCTCTAGCCTCAATGACCTTGCCCCGAGTTTGTCCAACCAGTTTCTCCCATCCTCATGTTCCAGCAGGACCTCCTCCTCGGAGGTATCATTTGATCTGGACCCCACCCCTAGCAGTTCCGAGCTGAGCCAGCTGTCTGGAAGATCTTATCATGGTAGCCCTGAGGCTAGCTTCCTCTACCCTGACTATCCCAGCTTTGTCTTTGGTCCCTCTCTTTTCAGAGTAACACCTGACTCAAGCTCCACCAGCCTCAGCCCAAGATGCATTGACAGCTGTTCTGATCTCAGCCTTAGCTACAGCGATGACAAGCTCAGCCAAACCACAAGCTCCACCAGTCTTGTGTCTGTTCATCAGTCAGAGAGCATCATCAGTATCAGCAGCCCAGAGAGTGTTATCTCCATCAGCAGCTCAGAGAGCGTCATCTCCATTAGCAGCTCTGAGAATGCCATCTCCATCAGATCACACTCTGTCATTTCTGTTGCCAGCTCATCTTCATGCGATGAGAAATCAGCACAGGCCTTCACCAACCCATTCCAGCCTTCTCCCTCCCAGTCTGTCAATCTGCAGACCCTGTTCTACCATGACCTGCCCTACTACCAGTGGACCTCCTTCTCCAACCCAGCCAGCCCCTCCATCAGCTTCACGGACCTCCTCCTCCCTGCTACATCTGTCAGCTGTTCTGAGACCCCGCTCACTGAGACCCCATGCTGCAGCTCCTTCAACTACTCTCCTGTGACTGGATCCATGCTTGTCATCAGGGATGTGGCAGACAGAAAGAGGAAGAGAGATGATGATGGTGATGATGATGGATTGCCTCTAAAGAGGCAGTGTCAGTAAGTGGGTTGACTGGTAAGTTGGTTCAACAGGTATCAGTAAAACATTCTGTTGAGCCCATATTCCATACATTGTACATACTCATTCTTATTGTGTTATATCCATATAAAGTCATACTCTGTCATTGCACTCAGGCCACCCCAATACTGATTCCTCTATGATTCTTCATTAGATCATAGCAGACATTCCAACCCTGTCCGGTCATTTTCCCTTCCTCTACCAACGCCGATCTATGCTTATCTCATGACACCCTGGCGACCTTGCGTTCCATTCAGCCCCGAAGCCTACCCATCTACCCACCCACCAACGCCCACACCCCCCTGGCCAGCATTTAGCCCATGTCAACACATTTTCATGTCAACTGAAATTATCATACTTGCCTGATATGATTTTATCTTTCAGAAACTAAGATTATAAGCAGATACAATATGAAGGTTATCTATGTAACAAATTATTCGAATAGTTATATTTGAAAATATGATAGACGGTTAGGAGGGAAATGTAGCTTGCGTAGTTCATATTTGAGTATATTCAATAAATGAAGAAATAATATATCATACAGTAAGAGGAACCATTAGTTGAAATATATAAATGATTAATGTTTGCAGATACCATGAAAGACAATTTAGAAAGAAATACATCTCACGCCATATGTGTATATTCAACATGAGTATAATCAATAAATGACACTATCATAATACATTGAAATGTATAAAAATAATACATTTTCAAAATATCACATACGGTTCAGAATGAGGAATTCTTGATTAAAAGTTGTGTTGAGAATCGAATAGTTATTCTAAAGTATACTTAAGAAGGACATGTGTCCTACATCATGTATAGTTAAATAAAGAGAATGTTCAATAAATTACATTATCACAATATATTGTAGTTCTCAAAATAATGGAAGAAATATCTTATGTCATTCAGTAAGAGGAATCTTTAATTAAAAGTAGTGTTATGAAGGGACTGGATTATTCTAAACTATATACCCGTGAAGATCCGGGGAAGAATAGGTCTTCAGCAACCAATGCTTGCCACAAAAGGCGACTATGCTTGTCGTAAAAGGCGACTAACGGGATCGGGTGGTCAGGCTCGCTGACTTGGTGGATGCATGTCATCGATCCCAATTGCGTGGATCGATGCTCATGATATCAATCACTGGATTGTCTGGTCCAGACTCGATAATTTACAGACCGCCGTCATATAGCAGGAATATTGCTGAGTGCGGCGTTAAACAACAAACAATCAATCAACTAAACTATAAAGGGTAATGATAGTTTACGAGCATTAGACAGTTTTAATAATAATACGATAGGATAAGATAACATTTGATGACTTACCAACTTGAGAAATGTGAAAAGGAGGTTTTAATCTATAGCGGGTGGTAAGGGTGGCTAAAGGGGAGGAGGAGGCCACATAAAAAAAAATAATGTTGAACATAAAACATGTCAATATTGGAGTATTTCTTTAAAAGAATGCGCGTACGTGGATTTCAATAACTTCAAAACAAACACATAGCAAATGCTTAACAGTATAAGCATCTTGTAACGCATATAAAACACTGATTTTCCCCATCATAGTTGTTTTCGCAGATACATCTGTATATATCCACATAGTTGGGGACTTAAAACAAGTTACTGAAGGCTTGCTGTGCACTGTAAACGTTCACCTCTTATGCTGATTAAACACTATTGATATCAATCTACTTTTCTTTAAAGAGAATATTAACACAATAAATATATCTTTAGAAACTTTATTACGTGTCTTGTGATGTGTATACAGTCCTGCTTATTGCCATGGACGTTTATATTTGTTTATTGTTTAACTCTGCTCTCAACAATATTCGAGCAACATGAGGGTTGTCTGTAAATAGTCCTGTCTGGACCTGAAAAACCATCATCAGTCTTCACAATTGGGATACGATGACATGCATCAACCAAGTTGCCTCTTACGATATTAGTTCAATTCTAACCTGGTCGGATGTTTATGGATGAGAATATTGACCCTTTGGAGAGAAAAGGTTGGTTAGAATAAGTAACCATTCAAAGCCGGGTGTATTAATCGGAGACTAACTGGACACACTATTAAAGTTGAGACATCCCCCCAGTCTGGGAATGTTGCAGTACATTTTATAGTGAGTGAGTTTTATTTTACGACGCTTTCATTAATATTCCAGCCATATCCGGGCGAAGACGCAATAATGGGCTTCACCTACATGTTTGGGGAATCGAACCCAGGTCCTCGGTGTGAGGAAGGATGGTTGTAACCACTAAACTACCCAAACGCTTATAACATATGTTGGACTGTTGAATTATTCTTAATATTCTTCCAGGTTCGAGTTTTAATAATCTGAATTTCTGCTTGACATGAAATACGTTTTAATCTTCAATGGTACAACTGTAATATTTTTTGTGATAAAATTAAAATCGACAAACCTAATCGACAATTTAGGTCAGCGTTAGAAATTGGCACTAGTCCTGTAGTCCTTGCCAAACTGACCAATAGTAAAGGTATCATAAGGACTAGTAGAAATTTGCCCTTTTTATGGGCTTTGCTATATGTTGTCATGATAAAGGACTAGTGGACTAAAACTGTTATTTCTATCACTGTAGGCTAACATCTTTCTTCATATCATACCTTGCGTAGAGCCAATCCATAACTGACCTTCGTTTACTTCGCGGGATTGAATGCTCTAATAGTTATTCGTGGAGGGAAATCCTTCGCGGTATATATGCTGACTCGAGACTTCTAACTATTACATGTATAAGTAAGAAGCTATTTATAGTGTATACATGCTACGACAGGTTTCTAGGCGGTATCTCCCAGTCACATGACTGTTTGACGTCCACAGCACGTCAGCTCACCAGGCTATTTAAAGGTTAGCCGATCAATGAAACATTAGTTGGTGGTGTTGATGCGCGCCTGGGAACAACTATCTTGTGAGAGCAGACACATGCAGTGCAGAGGTGCGTACACGGAGTGATTAACCAACTGGCAAGGCGTCGTTGTCTGGAATCTACAAGTCCTGATTTAGCACCATGCTATGCTGTTTAAGTTGATTTTATGAACTTAAAATCTGTGCCAGGAAGTGTTCTGAAAATACACTGAGATATCCAAACAATAATAATAAGCAGGTGGTGTTATTTGCTGTTGAAAAAGGACTATAAGTGTAATATCTAAGGTTGGAGTTACTGACGCGTCTATAGACATTGCACAATGGGCGTCAACATAACACCTGCTTTTGAAGCGAAAAACGTAAGATTGACGTCTTCTGCTAGAAACACCACGTGCATAAGGTCGTTCTCAGAAAACAACAGTGTCTGCAAAACGACTTCAGACAGCGCTGGGATGTCACTCGGTTCGTGGAATATGTGGACTGGTCAGACTGTTCAGCTTGGCGTGACTAAAGTTACAGAGAAAAGAACAGTCGAAAAGCCGACTCGGGATTTCCCGTACATGTATCTCGGTCACACAGGCAGACACTGCTTCTGTCTGGACACTTGGAACTGTAAACCGCTGTACCGGAGGCGAGGTTCAACTCGATGTTCGGGAGATGTTCTGGAGACACGAAAACCCAATGGAGTGAGACTCTTACAGAATATAAAGCAAAGTACAACTGGGGACAATGTGTATGCGTCTTGACCTACAGTTGCACGCTGTTTCTGTCTGGACACTTGGAACTTTAAACCGCTGTACCGGAGGCGAGGCTCAACTCGATGTTCGTGAGATGTTCTGGAGACACGAAGGTGTACATACCACGAGAACCAACAGAATATAAAGCAAGGTACAGCTGGGGACACAAAGTATATGTGTCTTGACCTACAGTTGCACGCTGTTTCTCTCTTGACACTTGGAACAGTGAACTGTTGTACGGAAGGCGGGTTTATCATGGCTCAGGAACAACTGAAAGGACAATAGAGAGCATGGATATAAATCCTTACCTCCCGTATCCGTTTAAGCAATATAGAGTAATACAGTATATCTATAGTGTGTGTGTGTGTGTGTGTGTGTGTGTGTGTGTGTGTGTGTAGTTGAAAGATCAGTGATAAAGATTCATTCATGAGATAAATGTAACTTAATACCCGTCTACATGCATGTGATGTCGACCTGGTTGTCATTTGGGCTGGTCCCAATATTTGACCATACTGAAACGAAACTTCCTTATATAATTCTATTTCTTTTCCCAATGTAACTAACGTTGTACCTTGGTACACTTATACATGAGGGTCTGTTTCGCCTGTGGGCTGGTCCCAAATTGAACCAACACTTGTATAGTTTTATTTCATAGTCCGATTAAACTATTTTGTTTCAATTACTAAAAACATGATGTCCATGCACTTGTCAATGAATACTTCTACGACGGTCCCCTTGTCGTGTTGTGTACAGTGTAATATTTCTAGACTGAAACCCTTTGAAAACGCATATATCCTATTTTTGTAATATGAGGCAAAATGGCCACAAAAATCAAATTAAGCTGTCGTTCGGGTTCGAATCTCATTCAATGTATTTTGAGATATTTTGAACGCACAAAAACACCATGTCTGATGCTTGAAAACATAATTATGCGGTTGTCAATGCGTGTCAGCATCCGTTCTATCTGCTTTTCTGTTTTTACTAGCGTGTTAATATATCTATACACCTAGAAAAAGAAGTAGTCAACTAAATATTGCCATGGCCGGGTTTCATAACATGTTAGATTATCGGTCTCCTGGTTTTGCATTTTGATATGAGAATGATACTTTGTAAAGAAAACCAAATGTTTATTTGTCAGATAGAGTAAGTGTTTAATTTGCCTCGAGGTGTATAGATACACGCGCATGTAAATATTGCAAAAATAAACCGAGTACCTTTCATGTGAAAAGTACTTTTAAGATCTTTAAACATATATGTATTTTGTTCGTTTCACAGACTCAGTCAGAACTTGGGTTAGACAAAAAAATATGTGGACATCCAAGATGGTAGAAAAAGAGTGTGATTTTTTAATTCAGACACAAAACAACTTATAGGTTCACTGTCAGAATGAATTAGATAAGATGACTTGTAACACTAACCATGTCTGAAGAGGGAGAGACCCGTGAAGATCCGGGTTGCTGTAAAAGGCGACTATGCTTGTCGTACGAGGCGACTAACGGGATCGGATGGTCAGGCTCGCTGACTTGGTTGATGCATGCCATCGTATGCCAGTTTCGAGAATCGATGCTCATAATGTCAATCACTGGATTGTCTGGTCCAGACTTGATTAATTAGATATTGCTTGGTGCGGCGTTAAACAAGAAAATAATGAAAAAGTGAAGAGGAGACAATACACTGAATCCTTAGATATGCAGTCAGCAGCAGAAGAGTTGCTTCCCTTTAAACACGATGCTAACTTTTGATAGAGGATGCTATGGTGTGAGGTTTCATGAATGTGTCCGGTACCCAACACCTCAGTTCCTTAATTCTATACCCATTCATGAGCATTAATGTTGATATCTCATTGTGTGGGTATGACTGGCTCTGCCACTTGGGACGGCTAAATGAGGCCACATTTAGAAATGTAGGTCACCAACACACACAATACCAGAGTCTCCAATGTCAAAGGTGTATGGTCAGACAGATGGAGACTTATCAGTGGAGCAATATTCCTACAGACCTGTGCATCATATCAGTAAACAATCATTACCAGATCATGTTTGTGTATGTTATTCCTGAGCAAGTGAGTGAGTGAATATTTCACAGCGCAGTCAGCGATGTTCAAGCCATTTCACAGTAGCCACACTGTTAAGGTAGGGTGCCTGGCATGCCATCAGCCAGGTCATGAAAATCCTCATATGTTGTAGCATTGGGACTTTGGGAATTCTTCTGCCCCGGAGTGATTTAGTGAGTTGGGTTTAACACCACTTTCAACAGTAATTTAGTTGTATCACAGTGTCAGCTCAATGTGTGAGGAAAGCCTGAAGTGACGCAGGTCTCACTATACCACTCTGGTGAAACCCACAGGCACAGGTATGGTGTGCACAGTCCTAGAAACATAATCAGGGACGAACTGGGATTAAAACCCATGATCCTAGGTTTCTGACATGCCCAATGGATGCAACTCTGCACAGCTTATTGCGGTGCCTTAAGACAACTGGGCCGCCCTTGCCCCCTAACTGCCCTTGAATTCCCACTGGTATGTGTTGTTGCTGAAGAAGGCACTGTTCAGCAATGGTAGTTGGCATGGAAGAGCCAATGTTGAAATGTTTAGGACTTACAACCTCCTCATCCACTGTGATACCCGCCGGCTTGCTATACAATAACACAAACATTCCTTTCATGTTTATGAAGATGTAAATTTATTTCATTAGTTTGTTATATGTGAGATTTTTCATTATTTCAACCAAATAGCATATTATCATCATCATTATTATCATCATCATCATCATCAAAATGTACAACATGGTAATGTAGAAAAGCAATATTTATAAACAAGATTCGTACAATTTGCTATGCAGTATCATGACAATGCATATCTATGATCCAATATCCCTGAAACAGAACTTATTTATCACCAACTGAGCACTGGCTGGCTATTCATTCACCGTCAATTTGTACACATCTACGGTGTCAATCACACCTGCCAGCCCTGTCCATCAATCAATCAATCAATCAGGCTGCCACTGGCAGCAATGTAATAACTTAGTATGAAATGGGAGATTGCATCAGCTTCTTCTGTTGCCTCCGTGGCACTAGGCATTGTGGGTATTACCAGTCGCACACCTGCGACATTTGATCAGGTATAAAGGCCTCAAAGAATGATGGCACTTTTTGAAAAGTCACAGCTCAAATACCATGTCAACAGGTAATAGAAAATAATATCATTATGACATAATGACAAATATTTCATGTGATCACTAGACAACAAACACTGATCACATCATCTACAAGTTGGTCATGAGACCACTAGCACACATATTGTCTTGGAACTGTAGATTCTTGTCACAGGACTGGACCAGCAATCAACAATGAGCATGACAACCACCTGTACAAATCTCTTTGTATTAAAGCATGGTTTGTCTGTCTTGGAGATACCGTATTCGACGTAATAAGCGCCCAGGGCACTTTCAAAATTAGAAATAGGGGGCTCTTATTAGAATATAATTTTTGTGAAAGAGTTGAAAGATCGTAAATTTCATAGTTTATGCTGACAGCCTGAAATGATACAAAAGAAAAGTCTGTGCTTATTATACAAGACAGATATATTTTTTCAGAATTTAATTGCCCGTAATTAAGGGTGCATATAACACACGAGTGCGTATTATACACGGATAAATAAGTCTTGTGTACATTGATCAATCGCAAGGGTGCTAACTGGGATTCTTTACTAGCCAATATATTAGCAAATATCGCCGTGGGCACTTCTTACGTCGAATACGGCAATGTCGGAGGCTGAAAGACTAATTTACCTTGGTAAAGTGACAAGAGACTTCTTAGATCCGATTAACGCTTTGGTGGAGATTAAACTTTTACATAATACTGTGTTCTTAATTAATACCAGCTGTGGCTTCAAGAAGATTTTTGATAAATTCATGCAGGATGGACATTCTTTCAGCAACAGGTGCTTTAACAAATCTTGTATAGGACAGCTGCAACTGCACATCATAGAGTGCGGAACTGCTTACAGCAATGGGAATATCACTTGGCATCAAACTCACACTGGTACTGCCCGAGCTGGATATATAGTCGTCACATGGAACTGATCAGCCTTCTGATGTGTTTATCAGCAGATAGTCAGGATTGTCCTGGAGCTGGGTAGAACAGAGTTGATCAGGTTTTCTGTAGGCTGTCAGATGATTGCTCCTGAATAGCTCACTTTGTGACAGCTTCTGTCACTGGAACTTTCTGAAAAGACTCTTTGAAGTGGGCAGCAGTTGTGGTTGTATCTTGGAGAAGTCTCTAACTTGACTGAATGCTCGATGATCATCAGAATCTCACAGATTTATTCCGCACCATGTGAGAAGGAATCGCGCTGAGCTGTAGTTCTTTCAGCTAATGATACTGGATCTACCAGCACTGCTGAGCACACCCTTTCAATCCCTTCTACACGCTGTGGCCTCAGCTCAACACAAACGCCAATATCCACGGCTGGCTGTGAATGTTTGCCACTACAAGCTTTGCCTTCTGCTCATAAATACATCTCCAAAATCTCTTCACCTACTGCTTGTCATCTTTTTCAAAAGACTTCCCAGCAGTGATAAGCACTTTGCTTTCCGCTTATCATTCACTTTCAGATCTCTCAGCACTTAGGAGCACAGGTCTCCAAGCACTTGCTTCAACATATGCTCAACATTCATCATCACAAAGGTCCTTTATTTTGGACGAGCACACACCTCAGGGTTTAATCCCAGGGACCCTGAAATGTAAGCTCCTATCCCTTACAGCACCAATATCACAGATTTCACACTACCACATGCACACACCATCCACACCATCAGGAGTCCAGCTCAGTTTCTAAATGTTCGTTAACACTATCCATGGTCATTCTGTCCCACTCAATGGGAACAGGCATTCTTACTGCACATAAATAGACATGTTTCTAGTTGGGATTGAAGTTAACTTCTTATGCTAGATATCTAGGTTGAATTTGATAACAGGTTTGAATATCACTTGTTGGTATCATTCAGATTAGGCTGAAAATCAAAATAGTCTTGGTTCTCAGGCACCACCCACATCATCGTAAAGTTAGCCGCACGTTTTGTTTTTATTTCCATTTAAAAACAAAATCCAGAAAATCCTAATACTTAAAAACAATGCGATCCAATATAGCACACAGTTACTTCCCTTTACATGCCCACTGCTTTACTGCACATCTCGTGTTATGGTCATGGCGGCAAAAGGAGTTTGTATGCTTGTTTATGTAGAGAGGCCCTTTCCCAGGTTGATGGTACACAACTGTTTATTTGGTTTACATACTAGTTTGAACAACCCCCTCCCAAAAAACCCAAAAGACCACCGTCTGTCCGCACCATATTTTCAAAGGTCATTGCCTGAGAACCAATTCTTTTATTTTTTAAGCCTTATGTGTAGTAATATTTCTTTCATGTTGAAAAACAGCAGGAAAAACTAAGTCGTTCTTGTCAGTAGACCTCTTGATGACCTGCACAGGAAAACCTCACCAAGTTTTACCAGAACAGTGGAAGCCTCAACCATTATGAATATTGGTTGGGCCGTAGCACTGCTTGTAATGATGCAAATATTAAAATATGCTGGTGTTCACTTTTTAGTCTATTTCCCCATACAAAATACAATCACCTAACAAAAAACACAGTCAACTGACTGAACAGAAATTTGATATCAGTAGATCACCACATATTCATTATGGAAATGAAATATCTGACAAGACAATTTCTAAATTTGAAATGAAATGATTAATAATTCATATTTTATAAAAAAAAATATGCATAGATGTGTATGCATTTATGATATGCAAACAAACCCTGATATGAGATATGTTCTGAAGGCTGACTGTAGTAAGTAACTATAGATGAGGGTCAGGATACTACTCCATTCAACTGTAAAACAACATGTCTATCAAACTGTACAAATCAGGATTCGTTGTCATTCAATAATTAGACACTTATTGTAGCTTTTCAGAAATGAGTGAGTGATTGAGCTTGGTCACACACTGCTTTGAACAGTATTTCAGTTATACCATGGTGTGTCAGCTTGATGTGGGTAGGAGTGATGCATGTCTTACAAACCTAGAAACATCATCAGGGCGTATCTGAGTTCTGTCACACCTAAGGGACAAAACTCTGCACAGCAAGTTGTTTTCCTTTCAGATTTGAATAGATATCAGCGGACAAGAGGCTGAAATGCAGCAATAGGATATATTCAACACATAACTTGTCTTACAATACTTTCCTCTAAGCTAAGAATCAAGGAAATGCTTGAACCTAAAGTAATGACAAATAATTCTGACATTATTATTAAATAGAGTTTCATCTAACAATTTTGAAGTATTGTCAGTTAAGATGCTATTGAGACCAGAGTGATTTAGTTGGGTTCAAAGCTTTGAACAGTATTTGCTATATCACAGCATATCAGCTAAATGTGGGGGGAGTGCCCAAGAGTAGCCGGTCACAGACCTTTTTTAGTTTGGTAGACAGACTGAGGATCATAAGATAAGGTCGAATCTGGGATTCAAACCCATGGTAAGCAGATCCTGACATGACTAAGGGATACAACTCTCCTCAGTGAGTTGCAGTGGATTCCTAAACTCAGATAAAAACAAATATTCCTTTGAGTTAAATATCTTAAAGGCTTAGTCAATTTCAAGTGAAAAGTTATTAAGACAGATTTATCTCCCTTGACAATTATCTCCCTTTTACAATTCAACATCAGTATGACCATCTTGGAGCACTAACTGTAAATATCTTAGCAACTACATAAATCAAACATGTGAAATACAAAGAATACTCTACCCAGACTACCTTATCAAGTTTATGTATGCTCATAATCCAATCACAATAGAGTAAAGGTTTCTCAGTCCTTTGTAAGAAATGCATCAGACATCTCCTAACAGTAGTTGGCACCAGAATTCTCCCGGTGAGTATTGACTTTAACTGCAAGCTGAACTCCTAACTTGTCAGTGCTATGAGATCACATTCGATGGGGAATTTGATATCTGTTGTAAGTGTAGCTCCGGCTGTTTTGCTGTGCCGTCCTCCGCGCTGGTTGTCACAAGCAACGTGTGTTGGGGTCCCTGCTGGCCGGTTAGAGCGGGATTCATGATCACCGACATGGGTTGCATGGTGATCTTGCCAGTCATGCCCTTCATATTGAGCATGCCGGGTTTGACTTGAAGCTGTGCCAGCTGTGCAGCTGTGAGAGTTTGACTTGTGCACAGCTGTGTTCCCAGCTGACCTGGGTTGGCTTGAAGCAGCCCGGGAGACAGATTCATGACTTTATTATGTCCCTGTTTCAGGCTGGCTGTGTGTCGATGACTAGTCCCGGACTTATCTGAAATGAAAGGAAAGGATGTGAGGTCCAGGTTAATGGAGGTTTACAATTATAGTGAGCCAAAATTGAACATATGCACCATAGGGCAATATCAGGAAGCCTAGTTTGTGTGATGCATTTTGCAACATGTTCAGATCAAGAATGTGGTTTTCCTCCAAAACATATCTCTTTCCACTCCTTTTTTTTTTATACATTAGTATAAGTTGTTACTGTAAATGTGTTTGCAAATTGATTCCATGGAAACACAAGAAAGCAAAAAATAAATAAAAAAATAGTAAAATATGAAAAGGCAGTAGTTGAACATGAGGTTATTGCACATGTATAGTTTCATGCAAACATATTCATAAGTTTGAGAGTTATGGCTTGGAAACGAAGCCTATAGTTGTTTGAAACGTACCCAAAAAAAATAATTTAATATTTCAAAATAGCAATATGAAATGTCTTTAATGGTTTTGAAGTTATGGCTTGGAATAGGATGGGACCGCCGACGTGAACCGAGCCAAAAACACAATGTCTCCCCTCTCTTTGCAACATAATGCAACACAAAATTCCAGGCAACAAGTAACTAATCCCTAGCCCTTATGGTAACTTTTTTAATTCACATGGAATATGTGTATTTATCTAAATTCAAACTAACCAAAATCCAATCAGGAAGTGAAAAACAATTAACCTCCCACATATAGTTAACACCGTCATAAATAGGGTCCATAAAAACCGTATGACTGTTGGAGCTTACGATGACATTACTACACTGTTTGGCCCTCACTCTATAAAAGGTTCATACGCTATGAACTCGCAGAAAGTGAAAGTCAATTCTTATAATATTTTTACATCACTTTTTTAACCTCTGAGGATGTAGGCCAAGATCTCTACACATTTTTATTTGGTATGCGTGACTTCTGGTTTACACAGACGGCCATCGACAACCAGCTGTGAAGCGAAATAACATTGTTCTTTAAAAAGGTGAGAGTATGTAGGTGACGTGAGAGCATGTATGCTCAACTTGCTCTACGGGAACATTTGTTGTAGTTTGTTTACAACAAACGTATTCAAACAATATCATCATTGGATGAGAGAGAAAAGTGTGTTAAGAACTACCTCAGTAAGTCAGTCAGAATGACACTGCGTCGTAATACATGTACGTACAAGACGCCGAAATGGCCGACATGATAAATATGAGAGATTTCCGAAGTTGTTAATGAACTAGTGACAGTTACATCATATTACATGTGTTGGCCATCATTGATCAATTGGCCGATCATTGAAAGGTGATCATAAAGATGTGTCTAATAGAAACTAAGGTAAATCATAGCTTGCTGTAGACAGTCACTGCCAGCCTAGACACGGATTGAGTCGATACTACCCTAGTTTGGATGTGCATTTCTTTGTTTTGTTCGCAAGGATGGGTCGTAGGGAGGATATTCATGAACGATCATGCAGTCAAACTCTCTGATGTTCCTCAATGTATGCTAAAACGCTGACTTCAAGCTAAAGGGTCTAAATGATCAGAAACAACGCTTTTGTATGTATTCAAGCTAGGGAAATTCCAGGGGTTTCCCAAGGAGTGTGGAAGTCAGTGTTTAAACAAGAATACAGTCTTGTGAAAAACAGAACGTCAAGATCTGCGTTCACACACTTATGAACTTCAGTTTCCCGGTCACGTGACGGAACTCTCATCCAATGGAAAAGCCATGTATTGAGTAAACTTCACTAGCATTAGCTGATTAGCAATTACTAGTTGGTTAATCAACTAAGAAAAAATAACATTAGCCCTTATCAGTCGTTATACCTTCAACATGCCACCAAATTCTGTTATATACTATGACGAAACTGGACAGAAATACCTAGCATAATACATGCATGTACTGCACATACTGGAAAAACAATCACAGTTAAAATGTCACTGGTCACTTCACACTGCACAAAGACAAGACTTCAAAGACAGAAATAAAAAACAAACACGAAAATACACTTACGCTTACCTGACGGCGAGCTGACGATGCCGTTTGGAAGAGGTGAGGCGAGTGACACGTGGGGGCTAAGTGCATCCTGAAAGAGACAGCATTGTTAAATGAACACTCTCCATCATCTTTTCTCTGTTAATCTCTTCATGTTGGCAAAAGAATACCATGGATACAGAAATCTGAATTAATTATATATGAAGCTTGATCAATATTTAGCAGAAAAACTTCAATTTAGCTGTTTTTCTCCACATTCTGTGATCCAGGTGGTTCTGTTGTCATGGTATCTTGGTATCACCACAGTGACTATTTCCACTTTACAAGTTCATGCAGAGAGAATGCTATAGCAAATTATGACAGCTTTTTTTAAAAATTGTCGATAACATAATATGGTTTCAGATAGGTGGATGTCATCATAGCTAGTGAGTACTCGATAACATTTGAAACCTCTGGCGAAAAATGTCAGTTTCAAATAAATGTTCTGGACATCAAATACCCAGCAATACCTGCAAATTGGAAAACTAATAATGTTTATCTCATAAATATAATGACAAATCTTCTGGTAGTGTGCTACATCACTTCCAGTGTTGAACTTACACTCCATAACCAATACATAACACAGAATACAACAGTAAACGTTGTGTGTTGGTGAATAATATATGTAGTCAAAGCACCAATGTTTCCGTAATTTGTAGCTGTGTAAATACATGATACTAACAAATAAATAACAAAGCTTGTTTTAAACATTTATAACAAGATTTTTCTTCTTTTACTTCGCTAATTTTTTCTTGTAGGTTTTTCTGGGAAGGATTTAAAGTCGTTAATTGATGTTGCTTACCTGTATTTTGTGTGCGTAAGTGAGTGAGTGAGTGAGTGAGTGAGTGAGTGAGTGAGTTGGGTTTAACACCGCTTTTAACAGTATTCCAGTTATATCACAGCGTGTCAGCTTAATGTGGGAGGAAAGCCCGAAGTGATGCAGGTCTCAGACGTTTACCACTTTGGTGAAACCCACGAGCACAGGACTGGTGCTGACAAACCTAGAAACATAATCGGGGCGAACCAGGATTCGAACCCACAATCATAGGTTTCTGGCGTGCTAAAGGGACGCAACTCTGCACAGTGAATCGCGGCACCTTAGACGACTGGGCCACCCTTGAATTTTGAATGAGCAGATCAAATTTTTTTTTTTTTAAAAATTAGAAATTGTGTTGCCACTGCTTGACTCCCTTATACTGGCATGCGTCATGTCCATGAAATGACCGACATTTGTCCACATCTATGCAAATCCTGCTTGTTTCACATGTAGCCTCAATAACCCCTGCTGTCGTCAAAACAAAGATCTGAGGACATTCCATTATTGCTCACGTCAGAACGACCTTTCATCCTACCAATCTAATCTGATTTGAATAAATGCCAACTTACTGTTCTGAACATGGGACTGGGAGCTGTGGAAGGACTAGCCTGAGATGTGGCCATGCTGGAGTTGCCTAGCGTCGTCAGGTTGACTGGCGCTAACACTGCACCCTGCAACCCATCCACCAGAACAGCATTCTGGGACATTATAACACTGTTATTGTGTAAAGTCTTTAACGTATCCAGGTTATTTGTAAGTTTGGCACCACTGGTGGTCTTAGCATTGCCACTGATTGTCCGACTCCTGCGAACTGTGTTTTTATCGTCCGTTGTTACGACCTGTTGATGAGTGGTCAGGTCAGCTAACTGGGCACTTGCAATATACTGGCCGTTGAGAGAATCAATTCCAGTTAATACTAGATTAAAATCTTTGATATTTATATTATTCTTGGGCACTTGGTTCTGTTTATTTGTCAATGTTGGATTGAAATGGCCGATCGTGGCACCACCGAGGTTTGGAATGGCAATGGCTGTTATTGGGTTTGTGTGAGTGTTAAGGGCTGCCATAGTGCCAATGACATTGGATATAGCTGGGTTTGGATTGATAGAAGCCGTCACTGATGACAGACCACCACTCCCACCCTGACTGCCACTGCTTCGTTTCCGTTTAGCAGGGTTCGCGTTCACTACAGATCCAGACGAGGACCCGGGACTCCGAGAGCCTGCAGAGTCCCGAGGAGATTTAGAAGTCCGATTGCTACTTGATGATGATGAAACAGCTGATGAGGAAGAGGACTTTGATTTTGGTTTTGAAGCACTTTTGTTGGCAGAGTTAATCATTCCGATGAAGTTGTGAGAACCTCCACTGACATCGTCCATGTTGAATTCATACGGATCTTTGGAATTTGTGACCAGAAGGGGTTCCTTTGGCAAGTTGGACTCGACACACAGTTTCCTGAAAGAAAAGTGAAAGTTATAAACAACAGAACCTAACTGTTTTCCTACGACATGAAAACGTCTCATCAAGTTTGTCTGTTTGTTGTTTAATGCCATACTCAGCAATATTCCAGGTACATGTCGGCAGTCTGTAAATATTTTAGTCTGGACCCTAACAGTCCAGTGATTGACAACATGAGCATCAATCTACGCAACTGGGATGCGTTAACATACATCAACCAGGTCAGTGAGTCTGACTACCCAAGCCCGGAATGTGCCATACAAGTCAAAATACAAAATACGTGAGTTGAGGTGAAATGGGGTTTAACATCGCGTTCAAGATTATTGCACTTTTATTGCAACGTGCATGCGTATTTTCTTTTCTTAAACTCTTTAACTTAAATTCTGTCTATAAAATTGCATGTACTGCAGACAGTGTTACACAAGTCATACCCAAGGAAATGGGGTTTTTCAAAGATTATTGCACTTATATAGCAACGCGCATGTACGTGTGTGTGTTTGTGTGGCTGCTTATACTAGTCCGGACTGATGCCGATTTATAGTGCTAGCTCACTGAGATACCATGCTGCAATTTAACATGGATATACCACTCAGACTTCGAGCCGACCAGTTATTGTTTTAGCCCCTTAATGTTGAGCGCCAGGCAGGGTAACAAGTACCTTCCTTAACGTCTTTTGGTATGTGGTCTGGGATTGAACCCCGACCTTCTGCTCTCCGGGCAGACGCTCTACCAATAGACCACAGAGGCAGTCAGACAGTATGGTCAACTAAAAAAATCCAGTACCCATCGCTAGTGCCATATGTAACAAATTAAGTACACATTACAAGACTTACTTTCAATCAAATGATTATTGCGAACATCATGCAATTCAAATCACATTATCAATATGATTGGCCAGTGTTCCCCCGCCCAGGTGTACTCACTTGTGAGGCGGAGGATGTAGGTGGCGCTCCAGAGCACTTAGGAAAGCTGCTCGTACATAGTCAGCACGGCGAGAAAATGCATGGCACCCACTTCCGTTAAACCTGGCGCCGAATCGGCACATCTGAAACACAGACACATCAAATACATAAGGTGGGACAGAATTCTTTGATGATAAAGTTAAACTATTCATTAGTTATTTATTCGCCCCGATTATGTTTTTAGGTTTGTCAGCACCATGCCCGTGCTCGTGGGTTTCAACGAAGTGGTAAACGTCTGAGACCTGCATCACTTCGGGCTTTCCTCCCACATTAAGCTGACACGCCGTGATATTACTGGAATACTGTTAAAACGCCTTTAGACCCAACTCACTCACTCACTCACTCATTAGTTATTAAATAGCATAAAAGCACAAAGGTTAATTTAAAATTTTGCAGCAGGAACTAAAAACAAAATTCATATTGTTTGTTTGTTGTTTAACGCCACACTCAGCAATATTCCAGCTATATGATGGCGGTTTGTAACTAATTGAACCAGACAATTCAGTGACTGACACCATGAGCATCAAACTACGCAATTGGGATACGATGACATGATCAACCATCTCGTTAGTCGCCTTTTACGACAAGCATAGTCACCCTTTATGGCAAGCATGGGTTGCTTGCTGAAGACCTATTCTACCCCAGACCTTCATGGGCATAATGAACAGCATAACTTTTTACACAGAGCAAATGGGAGCTATTGCTGCTTTTTCCATGCTTTCAGCCATCTGAATGTGTCAGGTTAATGTAGGAAGAAAGCCTGATGTGATGCCGGTTGTGGACCTTTACCAATTTGATAAAACCCCAAAACATGGCTGCCAGACCAATGACGAGTGAACTGAATTTAATTCCTCCCTGAACAGTATTTCAGTTACATCATAGCGGATTAGAACAAAATGATCCAAGTTATACACGTTTATTACCTACAAAGGAAAACATAAAAATCATGTGCCCTAGTAGTATAGGTTCATATCACGTCACGAGACGACAGTGTATTGTTTTTGTCATTCGGACGTCATTTGAATCTTATTGTGACGTGAGATCGGAATGATGTCACACTAGAAACGACGTCGTAGCTGAAGATCGTTGACGTCATTCGACAAATTGTAGGTTCAGCTGCTGTTGAGACTTGCTGTCCTTATAGGTAAACACTAAAATTGTCTCTGTATGTAGACATCTGCTTTGGTAATAAATAGAACATTATATGAGTGTTGATGTCATACTATGTTTACGACACTCATATAAAATCCTCCATTTACCACTGTAGTGAAAACAATCATTAGTATGGTGCTGACTAACCAAGCATCATTGTGAATGAGTGAGTGAGTGAGCATGGTTTGACGCCACTTTTAGCAATATTCCAACAATATCACGGTGGGGGACACCAGAAATAGACTTCACACATTGTACCCATGTCGGGAATCGAACCAAGGTCTTCGGTGTGAAGAGCTAACACTTTAACCACTAGGCTACCTAACCACCCCACCAAGCTTCATAATCCCAATGAATCTGTGATGTAAAGCCACAATCATAGGATTCTTGCATGACTAAGGGATGCAACTCCGCACAGCGAACTGTGGCACTTTCAAGTTGGCCACCAGACAGGCCAAAGATGACATGATAGATATAATTAGGTTATGGCCATCTAACACAAAGAAAAGCCAAACAAATATAGCTTACAGCAGCAGGTTGAGGGTGATATGGTAGGTAAGTGGCATCTACTCGATCCTGCTCGTCATCTCCATCCTCCATCGACAGGCGACCTCCACTTGTATCCATAGCGACAGAAGTAGGCTCCTCCTTGATATGTGTCAGGGAAGGCGGGGCAACAGTTGAGGTAGGTCTGGAGAAAACATTTAGAAGTCATGTGAAGTTCACTCAAACATACATATTTCAGATATTTAGATTGTTTCAGCAAGCAAATGTTATTTTAACACCACTGATCACATCACATCACTGCTATATCATGAAAATATTTGAGTCAGGGCCAGGAAAAGTCAGTGGTTGATGGCATGATCAGGGCACAATCAGCCAGTCATACATTTTGACCAACAATTACAGTAGGCTTTTACCGTATAACGAGTACGGGTTACTCAGGGCGTGATACATCAATCTGGTGGACTCGTACATAAACACGACAATGAACCATGTTGGAATACCATTTACCTTTGAAATACTGAGTTGTGGGGCTTGGCGTGAGACTTGTTTTTCTGAGTGGGAGACATGGAGGGTGGGTGTGGCACTTTGGAATGGGCGACACCATCTTTTGAGTGAGCATTAGAATCGCTATGACCAGACTTGGAACTGCCCCCTCCCCCCGGCCCTGCCCCGCCCCCGGAGGCTGCTGCTGCCTTAGCTGCCATCTCAGCTTTCTGTTTGAGAAGAAGTTCCTTGGCTGCCCGATGTTCTTTGAGCAGTTCATCAAATGTTTTGCTTCTTCCCTTTACGGCTCGCCGTAATGAAAGAGCATGAGTCTGAAGAAGAATTGTTTTTAGCATTAGCCATCTTAATACCAGTTTTCCAAACAGACCAGCATTGTCAACAAAGTAATGATAAGTCCCTATCACATGAGTGAGGTGAAATGGGGTTTAACACCGCGTCCAAGATTCTTGCACTTTTATAGCGACGTGCATGCACGTGTGTGTGGCTGCTTGTACTAGTCCGGACTGATTCCGATTTATAGTGCTAGCTCACTGAGATACCATGCCGCAGTTTAACATGAATACCCCACTCAGACACACTATACTGACACAGGCAATGTGAACGTATTCTAAGAAAGCAATTACAATTCTAAACATGCACTTTGCACACTAATAGTATTTAAAAGTAGTATACAAATGAAATAAACAACTCCAAATCTTTGCAGGAAGAGAGATACCTGTTGTTCAAGGTAATACCATTCCATACACTAAAATCTCAGAACATTATTTGTTGTTAGTGCCGCACTCATCAACATCCCAACTATATGACTGAGATCTGTAAATAATCTGGACCAGACAATCCAGTGATCAAAATTGTGAGCAACAATCCATGCCGTCCGGGTATGATGACACGCAATTAAACAAATCGCAAAGCTTGACCACCCGATTCATTTGGTTGGTTTGTTGTTTAACGCCACACTCAGCAATATTCCAGCTATACGATGGCTGTCTGTAAATAATTGAGTGATTGACATTATAAGCATTATTCTATGCAATTGGGATACGATGACATGCATCAACCAAGTCAGCGAGCCAGAACACCCGATCCCATCTTAGAGGAAGCATGGGTTGCTGAAGACCTATTCTCTACCCGGATCTTCACGGGTCTGATCCTCTTACAAACAGCGGAAGTTGCCGGGGACCTATTCCAACCCAGAGTCCACATGGGCGTAGGAAACATTGAGCAAGTCAAGATGCTTACCTTACAAGTGAGAGACCGAGTACATTGTTTAGCAATGTCAGGAATCCAGCACCCACAATGTTTGTCTGGGTCAAACTCACGATCTGGAAATTACAACAAAGTTAAACATAATCTTCCATACAAAGTAGCCAAAACAGCTGTGAAAAGCCTGACAGGGACTGAAACTGAAACAACTATTGGCTCGTGGGGCAGAAACAAAATTTTCAGAAAGAGTCAGGAAAGATGATACTGAAAACAGTGTTCGAACACTAAAGTCAAGGGTTCTTGTCATATTTTTGGTTGGTTGGTTGGTTTGTTGTTCAACGCCGCACCCAGCAATATTCCAGCTATATGACGGCGGTCTGTAAATAATCGAGTCTGGACCAGACAATCCAGTGATTAATATCATGAGCATCGATCCACGCAATTAGGATCGATGACATGCATCAACCAAGTCAGCGAGCCTGACCACCCGATCCCGTTAGTCGCCTTTTACGGCAAGCATGGGTTGCTGAAGACCTATTCTACCCTGGATCTTCACGGGTCGGTTCTTGTCATAATCCTAATGTTATAAAGTTGAAAACTTGGGGGGTCTCTTGATTCAATTACCCTAGGAGAAGAGCTCAAGGACCCCTGGACCCTGGACTCCTGGACCCCTCAATTTTGAACATCATTGAAAAGGTTAGTCTTGAATATATATTCTTACAAAACATTGTTCTTAAGTGATCCCTTTAGAGAACTGATGGTCGGCATGTTCGGGGAATGTGAGAAACACCAAATGAAAGACAACATGTTTAGTGGTGTAACAAGGGTTACTTCCCTTTGTCTATCCGTAGACAAGCTCCTCACAGCAATAGCCCATTTGCTGAGCTCTCTATACTATCGCTGCCACCAGTCAAAACTCCCCACTGTGAATAGGTGGCCACAACCATGCTTGGAGTTGAACTCGCAACCGAATGACCGTTATGTTTACAAACAAGTGACGACTGCCGAGACGCCGAATACATTTATCGCTGCTAAATTACTTTCTTCGTTTGTCAATTTGAATTTCCGTTTCATTAAAACTATCGTGCTATTGATATAGTAAGAATGTAAGGGAGAAGTTGGTTGATTTTCCGTTAGTCTGCAATCCCGAACCAATCTGATTATTAAAACAACAAAGTAAATTCATCTGGAAAATATGGTCAGTTGTAAACCTTTTCAAACTGAAATATGATTGCATTCCCAAAGACATAAACAAAAGTATTAAATGTAACTACATATGGGGTTAGAGGGCAAATTTCAAGATTCTTGTAATGGTCGCGCCCATACTGGTGGCAGCGATGTTACCGAGAGTGTAACGAAGGTGTCACGCACTGGGAAGGAGCTTGATCCGTCGACTTAAAGGCACTGATATTTATCCTGAGTTTGGTCATTACTGAATAAGTGAACAGACTCAGTGGGAAGGAAGAAAAGACAGACTAAAAATCTGAACTTATCCCACATTTGTGAAATTTTATTTGACGGATTAATAAAAAGACAACAATGTCTTACCTTTGCATGGGAGAAACTTCCTCTCCTTGGGAGATTTCTTGTTACTGGAGGGTGGAGTGACTATGGAGGGGGGAGGTGTAGGTGTGGGAGGGGGGACTGTGGGGGCGGCAGGCGTGACGGTCGTCATTGCAGGGGACGGTGTCACAGTGGTGGTAGCACTTGGAGTCATATTGCTGCTGCTGATGGAGTTCTTCGATGTTGTAGTGGTAGTGGTGACAACAGACACCATAGTTGCATGAGTAGGTTGCGATACTGGGGGCGTGGGGGGCGTTGGGGCACCGCTGGAGTTGGTTTTCACAGTTCCATTGGTGAGCACTGGTTTGGTACCAGACTCGGGGGCGACTGACAGAGTTCGTTTGGCCAGTTGTTCGGGTATTCGTTCCATTTTCACCACTGGCATTGTGTGAGATTTCTTCATTGAGCTGCTGCTGCCCCCTGAGGAGTTGTTGCTCTTGTTTGACAGAGAGGCCATCTTAGGCACAAGGTTGGATTGTGGGGGCTGCTTCAGGCTGGCCTTGGTCAGAGGCATAGACTTACGACCTTCCTTGACCGGTGTGTCACTGCCAGTCTTTGGGAAGTCGGCACCTATTGCAGCCTTGATCAAAGCTTTACTGTCCTTCAGCCCATGACGATTCACTGCAAGAGATGGATATGGTGATATTTAGTTAAAGGGTCATGAATATGCAAGTCAATGATTAAAGAGACAGAAACAAATTGAGTAAATATTGGGTTGAAATGCAAATGTTGTCTGTTGCTCTATGTACAGACTAAGAATATAGTCCCCATGAAACAATCTGCTAAAGCTGACTATCACAATCAACGCAACACTTGCTCCATCTGACCTAACAAAAGGATCATGTGACAAGACATGACACTTGCAACTTGCCTGACACTTGCTTCATCTGACAATTGACCTTACCCTTGCTTCATCTGACAATTGACCTGACACATGCTTCATCTGACAACTGACCTGACACATGCTTCATCTGACAACTGACCTGACACTTGCTTCATCTGACAATTGACATGACACTTGCTTCATCTGACAATTGACCTTACCCTTGCTTCATCTGACAATTAACATGACACTTGCTTCATCTGACAAATGACATGACGCTAGCTTCATCTGACAATTGACCTGACCCAACATTTTAGCTGTTGGACTCAAATGAAGATTTCAACCTTAATTTTGAACACTGGCTGTAATGCCATATCTTGCTTATAAGAAAACCTCATAATTTGTAACAGGGGGCACTGGTCAGGCTGGAGTCAGGTGCTGAGTGAGTGAGTGAGTGAGTTGGATTTTAACGCTGCTTTGACCAGTATTCCAGACTAACATGGGAGGAAAGCCTGAAGTGATGCAGGTCTTAGGCGCTTATCACTTTGGTATGGTGCTGACAGACCTAGAAACATAATCGGGGTGAATCAGGATTTCGAATCCACGATCTTAAGTTTTTGGACGCAACTCTGCACAGCGAATTGCGGCCCCTTAGATGACTGAGCCACCCAAAGGTGACAAATGAATCTCATAAAATGATCTATCATTCTATTCATGGAATATGTCACAAGTTCATGGAATTCGTGAGCAAGTATAAAAATACTAATAAGGTAACCTGACAACCTGTGTTTTTGTTTTCTAAACCTGGTGCTTCACTTCTTATTTCTCCCATTTTCCACCTCCACTTTCAATAAAACGCTGTACAGCATCATGTTTCTGCCAGCTTTACAGCACAATTATTGATTTTTGTCAAGTATGTATCAGCGCTTGATTTCGACTACATGTGAAACCAATTTCATTCCTAGTGCAAATTTCCTCTCTTACTCTGAAGCTACATACATAGTTTCATGGAAGTTGGTTTCAAAACACTCAAACAAACATGAAACACTAAGTGGGGTATTCAGTGTTGTAGAATAATCACATACAAAAACATGTGGACATATGATGGACATATGAGTGCTGATATGAATTGGAATATTACGAACCACATGAAACACATGCACCATATTCAGCATACCATGCTTGCTGTAAAAGGTGACTATGCTTGTCGTAAGAGGCGACTAACAGGATCAGTGGTCAGGCTCGCTGACTTGGTTGATGCATTTCATCGTATCCCAATTGTGTGGATCGATGCTCATGATATCAATCACAATACTGTCTGGTCCAGACTTGATTATTTACAAACCACCGTCATATAGCTGGAATACTGCTGAGTGCGGCATTAAACAACAAACAAACAAACAAACATCATACTAAGCACCCTGTTCCAATAAGTTGCCCCCGAGGAATATTTAGACAAATTTTAATAGGTGCTGCAACTTAACAATCAACTTGCTCTTGGTAGAACTAGTTTCAATTTTCAAACAACTAAGCATGGTCACTACAACCTCACTTATAGACAGTCGTCTCCGCACCAACATACCTGGGCCCCGGGACTAGCCATTCATCAGTACATGCCGTCAATATCAAGTCCACACACTGAGTGAATGTAGTTTAATGCTTCAATTAGCAATATTGCAGCTATCACCATGATCGTGTTTGTTTGTTGTTAAACACCTTACACAGCAATAATCAAGTAATCAGACAACTGAGTGACTGACATCATGAACACTGAGCCCCAGAATTGGGATATGTGGACATTCAATGCATCACTGTACAATGACATGCATCAGCCAAGACACAGAGCCTGACCACCCAACCCATTTAGTTGCCTATTACGACAAGCATGGGTTGCTGCATCTTCCCGAGGCAAGAGAGTTAACTGACTATAAAAGTCCAGTTTTCACCCTTGCCGAACTAGGCTGGAATTCCTGGGCTCGATCGTAGCGCCACCAGTGGCTATTACTAGTGATGTCCCTTCTAAGCCTATCCTATGGACCAATCAGATTCCACCTCTCGTATCACTTGCGTTTGCTTCACACAAAATGGTGGCGCTGAGTCAGGACGATCTGATCGATAATCAAGATCTGTATTGTGATAAAACGGGTCTTACATCGCGAAAGGCATCAAATCACGTGAGCACCTTGATGAAAAACATGAAAATCTGCATGACAGTTTACGAACCAGATTTCGATTTTGGTGTGCATTTTGATTGGAGTGTGCATAGGCTTGTTAGTCCAGCCAAAATGTAACTCCATAATACCAGCCTAGTTCGGCAAGGGTGGAAACTGGACTTTTATAGTCAGTTAACTCTCTTGCCTCGTGAAGATGGGGTTGCTGGGGACATATAACGTTACCCTGATTCCCCACAGGTCACCATGGTGGCCTAGAAGTAACCAAGTCTGGACCAGATGATGACTGTGCTTGCACAACAATCCACATCATCTGGGCAGCACAATACAAGTTCAGCCATGTCACCAAGTCTGACCACCCTACCCCCATCCTCTCAGCTCCTACAGACTCAATACCCATGAAGATCAGGGTTAAAATTGGTCTTCAGCAACCCATGCTTGTCGAAAAAGGAGACATACAGGATTGGGTGGTCAGACTCACTGACTTGGTTGATGCATATCATCGTATCCCAACTGCATAGGCCGATGCTCGAAATGTCAATCACTGGATTGTCTGGTCCATTCTCAATTATTTACAGATGCCACCATGATAAACAACAAACAAACAAATACAAAGACTCAACTACTTTGAAGACCTTGGTTGTCTATTAACAGTATGGAGGATAAATCATTCATTATATCTTGTTAGTGCCTTTAACGTTGACCTCAAACTATCCTGGTAATTTTTCTAACATACAAGAAACATATTTCCACTATCATAAACTGCTTCAATTATTCATAGTAATACCAGAAAAATTACTTCAGTAGGCAGATGTTTCAGTTTTGTTTGTGAGCATGTCGTGCTAATTAAACAAGTTCGCCAGACCGTGTCTACACACACAGTATCACCACTGATAACCATGTGTTATTTCATGTTCTAATTCCCAAGTGGACCTGGTATGTTTTGCTGAGACTCACAGTGTAACTGTTGGCAATAATAAATGCTGATGAAAACTACTACCATTACTAATTTATCAATCCAAACTTTGTCAAGTATAATTTCCAAATACCGTATTCGACGTAATAAGCGCCCCGCTCTAATAAGCGCCCACGGCGACATTTGCTAAGATATTGGCTAGTGAGCAATCCCAATTAGCACCCCTTTCGATTGATCAATATACACAGGACATTTATTTGCGTATAATACGCACTCGTGTGTTATATGCACCCTTAATTATGGGCAATTAAATTCTGGAAAAATATATCTGTCGTATATAAACATTTCAGGCTGTCAGCATAAATCACAAAATTTATCTTTCAACTCTGTTTTCTTTCCACCAAAATAATATTCTAGTAAGCGCCCCCTATTTCTAATTTTGAGAGCGCCCTGGGTGCTTATTATGTCGAATACAGTAGTTTCACTGATGAAACATGAATAATGCATAGCATTTTGTTGGTTTGTACAGTTGGTTTCATTATATGACATATGGTTTTGATTGACATCAGGATTCAAGGGAGAGAGAGAGAGAGTGAGCTGGTTTAACTGTTCTGAACAGTATTCCAATTACATCACTATGTGACCCGTGAAGATCGGGGTAGAATAGGTCTTCAGCAACCCATGCTTGCCGTAAAAGGTGACTGTGCTTGTCGTAAGAGGCGACTAACGGGATCGGGTGGTCAGGCTCGCTGACTTGGTTGATGCATGACATCGATCACAATTGCATGGATCGATGCTCATGATGTCAATCACTGGATTGTCTGGTCCAGACTCGATTATTTACAGAACGCCGTCATATAGCTGGACTATTGCCGAGTGCGGCGTTAAACAACAAACCAACAAAACAACAAACATCACGATGTGGCATCTTGATGTGGGAGGAAAGCCCAGAGTGATGCAGGTCTCAGACATTTACTTCTTTGGTTAAACCAATGAGCACGGATATGGTGCTGGCAAATCTAGAAACATAATTGGGGTGAAACAGGGAGCAAACACTTAATTGTAGGTTTCAGGAGTACCCAAGGGATGCAACTCTGCACAGCAAATTAAGTTGCCTTAGACGACTGGGCCACCCATGCACCCCATCACGATTTGAAATTCCTTGTATTAGAGTGCCAATGGCATGGTTACAATAAGAAGCAGTAGTTTGGGGTAGTAGGCTTAAATGTTTTTTTTCCCAGACTGATCTCAAGACAAAATAACTGATCATGTTTTTTAATTATCATGATACATTGTTTTAAACATCTACCTAAAAAAGAACTATTAGTGAAAATGAACCTCAAAAGTCTGAAGATATTTTCTTTTCTTAAACTCTTAAACTTAAATTCTGTCTATAAAATTGCATGTACTGCATGTTACACAAGTCATAAACAGGTGGTTTAACGTCACCTCAAAGATTATTTCACTTATATAGGAACGTGCATGTACGTGTGTGTGTTTGTGTGGCTGCTTGTACTAGTCCGGACTGATGCAGATTTGTAGTGCGAGCTCACTGAGATACCATGCTGCAGTTTAACATGAATACACCCACTCAGACACAGTATACCGACTCCGAGCCGACCACTCCTTGTTTTAGCCCCTTAATGCCGAGCGCCAGACAGGGTAACAACAAGTACCATCTTTTAACGTCTTTTGGTATGAGGCCAGGAAT